ACATCGTGACAAATGAAAGTTATTCCTGCTTAGGTGCAAATACCTGCTGAATCTGCCTTTGTTAGGGACATGGGTGCAAGCTGACACACCTTGGCAGCCCTGGTGTGGCCTTCCAGTCTCGGCTTAGAGGGTATCCTGCAGGCAGCAAAGGCAAGTCAGGAGACATCTTTGCTTTTACTGAATGTCAAGTACCTGCCTTCTCTCCCTTTGCCAGGAAGAGCTGGGCTTCCCCCCACCGTTCTGGGTATAAGAACAGTAAGGGAAGGATCCCAGCAGATGGGTATTTCTAAGACTCAGACTTTGACTTCAGTCCTGTGAGGTGTATGCTCTGTGTGCTTCTCAGTGACAAGATACTTGGGGATCTCATCCAGCCACCCTGCTGCCTGCTGATACTGATTTAAAACAACAACAAAGGAACCACTCTAATTGGAGGATTCTACTTACCTCAAAACCGTTCTGTGTCCACGCTGAGGTTTGTAATGCTGACTGCACACAGTCAAGAGAACATCAGCTCCTATGCTGCCACCGCACCAAGCCTGGCAGCAGTACAGGCTGCTGGAGTGTCTCTCTGTCTCAGTGGCTGTCACCCCCGTCAGCACAGACCTCCCTTGCTGACTGGGGAAAAAGCCTGGGGAGCTTTCTGCCTGCTCAGGCTCCCACACAGATGAGTGAGAGGAGCTGTGGCTGTCCTGCACCCACTTGACCCAAGAGAAAGCACTGCTCTCCAGTGGGATGATGTGAAGGGACAGCAGCCTGTCCCCTGCACTGCAGCCCCCAAGGGGCACCCAGAGGTAGAGACACAGACAAATGAAGGGCAGGCGGCTCAGATATTCTGAGGTGCTGAAAGTGATTTTGTTCAGTGTATCAGGGAGGAATGGCCTGAAGAGACAGCTTGTGCTGGTGCTGCTGCTGTCTGAAATGCCAGCCACCAGGTTGCTGTCTTGCCATGCTCCACAGTAAATTGTGATGGCCAGTGTGTAACACCAAATCCTGGCTTCATAAGTCTGCAGCCCGGGCATAAATGAGCCTCTGCACTGTCAGATGTTCATTTTGCTCCAGAGACAAGTCTCAGTCATGGGCAAGGGTGAGTGAGACCACTTCTCTGGGGAGAGTAGACTGAGTGTATTGCTGGTCCTGACGATCTCCAGGCAGGCACTGGGACGGGGGCTAACCCTAAAGAAACCCTGCCACGTGTGAAGCCACCGGCATTATTCCCTGGCCCTTCCTTACTCCTATCAGTCATTTTATCACTTCTCGCCTCATTTGTAATAGTGTGCAGGAGCCGTGCCCAAGATGACGATTTGGAAACACAACACAGCCTGCAAGTTAAATATGCTCAATCCTATTTAACGTCAGCAGGGAGTGTCATTATTCATGATTAGTCTTCAGTTACACAGAAATTCTTCTCACAGTTTTCCCGTGCCTGCAGTCCTTAAAAACAAAAGGCAAATGCCTTTATTCAATTGTTGCCTCTGAATAACAGCCATTTCAGCCTAATTCCTATTTCAACTTCTAACTGTTGAAACAGTTTTGACATGAGTCATGCATTAAAATCACTCCAATGGGCTGCAAGGTGCAGCTACAGAAATATAACTGTAATGAGGTCTCCCACTCCAAGGTGGTACAGGCTAAGTACATCATACTGTGCTTTGCCTTCAGGAGGCCTCCTCTGCTCTGTATGTACTCAAATAAATGCCTGTCTGTCCTCATATCACAGGTCATTTTGAACTTCAGAAACCATGCAGATAAGAAGGATAGCAGGAACCTCCATTAAAACTGTGCAGGGGTACCTGTGGCTCTGCTCTGTGCCCCTGCACTGTTGCATAGTTGCATGTGTGGCTTCTGCAGACACTCGGCAATAACTCCATGTGGAAACACTATGGGGCTGGAACCCAAAAGCTGCTCTCTGTGAGAGCACCACCAACTGCCTGGCCAACCACAAGTTGTACTGGATCTCCTGGTGCTCCTCAGCTGCTGATCCTCACTGCAGATAGCAGAAAATTTCCCTGCACAACCTGGTGCTAGCATTACCTTCCCTGGCTTTCTCCTTCCCTAACCAGCCTTAGGTCAGCTGCTGCTTAGGTCAGTCAGTGCTTCTGAGATGCCCAATACAGAAGTCAGAGGGCCAAGATGATGCTGGTGGGCAGTCTGAGACCAGACTCTTTGCACACTGCTGCAGACCCCTCCAGACCCCCAAGGAACACACGAGGGCAAGCTGGAGACTCCCCAGCACTGGCTGTTCATCCAAACCAGAGCTCAGGTGCTGCTGGAGGTAGATTCAGTCCTCATTCCTGCAGCAGTGAGGCAGGCTTGGTCGAGAAGAGGATGTGAAACCTCCAGATCAAGGACTGCAGGTGGCCCACCACTGAGTGTAGCTGCAGGAAATCTCTGACCACACTCGGGCCATCCTTTCACCTTCTGCAAGGAGAATAGTGGCTCCAGCTCTCACCACACTCCATGCAAATCATCCTCTGCAGAAAGGCCACCTTCCTTCCAGAGAAACAACAGCTCCCATGGCTAGCCTTGCATGCCTGGCCAAGAGGGGTGGAAACCCTGGGCAGCTCCCAGGACCCTTTTGGTCCTGCTGTCTTGTGGAAAGGTGGGTTGAATCCCACGCCAAGAAAATGAGAAAAAGGTAATGTCAGCTGTGCGAGCAGTTCCTATGTTGTGGGGGGAAGGCCTGCCACCCAGTGCAAGGGTGGAGGAATGGGCAGAAACAACTTTGTGAAGCTGAATACTGATGATCCTGCCTCATAACTTACTGCTGCTGAAGACTCTGTACTTGCATCCAAGTAGCAGTAGTAGTATTTTGGGGCTACTCAGTACAAGGAAGACACTGACAAACTGCAGAGAGACCAGCAGTGACCCCCAAGGTGGTGATGAGGCTGCAGCACCGGGTATATGAAGAGACATTGGTAGAACTGGGCTTCTCCAGCTGCAAAAGAGACAACTGAGGAGTCTTCATAGGTGTCATCCACTGCCTGAATGGTGGTTATGGAAAAAACAGAGCCAGGCTCTTCTCCAAGGTAGACAAGGACAGGACATGGGCAATGGGTGCATGCTGCAGGATGGGACATTCCAGCTGCATGAGAAAACACCTCCACTGAGAGCGGTGCATCTCAGAAACCACATATCTGACCTCCAAAGGTGCACAGAACTCAACAAGGCTCAGCACAAACTGGTCCAGCTGTGGCCCTTGCAGCTGGGACTATAGACCTCCAGAGATGCCTTGCTAACAAGAGCTGGCGATTCTGGGTTACGATGGGAGGGAGAGCCTGGCAAGGACTGGAAGCTTGCCTGAAAGGAAGGTCCAAAACCCCAGAGCTGAGCTGGATCTGCCACCACTACCCTGTGCAGGGCTGTGCACTTCAGCTGGCCCAGGAAATAACACAGCTGCTGCAATTCAGAGCCCCTTAACATGGTTTTGGAAATTTCCTCTGCTACCAATTCAAGAAGCACTTGTGTCTGTACATCCATAGTTTTACTGATGCAGAGCAGTGACCGAGCAGCCAGAGGAACGAGACAAGAGAGGAAAATGACTGCAGGAGTGTATTATTCAGCTTGTCCAGCTGAAAGAGATTCCTGCCAAACGATTTTATGAGGAATGAGGCATTTTACAGGAAAAGCGGGGCCTCTCCTCTCATTTCCTCTCCCCTCTTCTCTATGAACTTCAAAGAAAAGAGGGGTCAAAACAGAGGCCAGGCAACTGGAACTGAGTTCCTGAGCCCTAAAGCCTAATTAGTCCAAGATACATTTCATTGGATATCTCTTAGAGACAGGCCTAAATTACCAGTCCTCCCCATAGTGCTGCCAACAGCCGGATAAAGCCAGGATGTGGTCTGCAGTTTGCAGGGCCCCAGCAGCCCTAGGGCTCCTGGAGGGGGCTCAGCCCAAGCCCCACCGCTGGCAAGGCTCTCCCAGACCCCAAGTTTTGTGTGGCCACAGCCAAAGCCTGCTCCCCAGGTCCGGGATTACCTCCCCCTCCTTGGTGCCTTATCTCAGGACTGCCTTCAAAGGGGTTGTGCAGACTGAACTCACCCAGGGCCATGTGGCTATTGTCTTTAGACGCATCTGCTGAGGTTATCAAAGAGCCTCCAGCCATTTGGAATTGCCCTTCCGGCAGTTTTAGGCTGATGTTAAACCCAGCTCCCTGCCCAGCTCCTGCCTGCAGGCCATGTGCCCCATGCCCCTTCATGCAACTCTTTGTTCATGCATGGATCATCCAGCTTCTCTGCATCCCCACATAGTGGATGCCCAGCAGAGGGGAAAATAATGTCCCATGGTCTGCATTTCTTTGCATGGCCCAGAGTGTGGTTCATCGCAACAGCATTGAGAAACAAAGCTTGTATTTGCACAGGTTTAAGCATTCTCTGGAACTACATCAAGTCATGCATCTCCCTCCCTGCAAGACACAGGTCTTGGGTGTTTTTTTTTTTTTTTTTGTTTTGGGATCCATAAAAAGTATTCTCAAGAACAGAGAGACAGAAATGACACAAGCTGGTTCCCCCATGCAGCCTCTCTCAAGATGCTGGCCTCAGAGGGGTGCCTCTTATTTTCAGACTATAGTGAAGGCACTTTGGCAGAAGGACTAATTTCCGGCCTTGTGGTCTGAAAGCTGAGAAAAGCAAAACCCTAAGGCCGGTCACTAGAGTAATTTGGAGAGCAGAGAAAGGACATCATTGTCTCTGTAAGCTTATGTGGCCTCCTGGTGCCATAGCACAGCTCTGGAGCATAGGAAACCATGCCTTGCAGCTGGCGAGGCAGCAAGCAGTTGCACATGAAGCCAGATGGCCACCTGGCAGGGAAAGTGAGCTCCTCACGGGTGTACAGCTACCCCTAAGCTGTGATTCTGCACCCCAGTGGCGCCTGGGTCTTGCTCCCTTGCCACTGCATTCAGGTGACCTGGTCAGTGTAAAGCATAGCTCATTCCTGGTTTGGTGTGTAAGGGAAGCCAGGGAGCAGAAGGGGAGTGCAGAAAACTGACTAATCTTCCACTGGGAGAGATATGAAAATTATTTTATTAAATTTTAATCCAGGGAAAAAGATCTTTTTCCTTAAAAAATTTGACTGAGCTCCCACTTAAAGAGTGGGTCTGGGACCTACAAGGACTTGGCTTAACTCTGTTCTACTGCAGGTCATCTGTGCTGCCTAACTGCAGCAAGAATATTCATGCCCTTCTGCATCCATTTCCCAGGGGAGCCAAAATATAAAATAAACACCTTTCCTTCCCTTACGTAATGCTCTGCCAGAGCTGGCGTCCTGCGAGCGGTGGATGGAACACTCTCTGGAGGTCTCCCAACACAGCACTGCTGCCAGCACGAGATCAGGTTGGCCTTAGCTGTGTCTAGCCACAAAGCCGAAGTCTGCTTCCCTTGTGCTTGCGCAGCAGTTGGGTGTAACGACCCTTTCCTCGGATGAAGCTCATGGAGAGCGCTGATTCCACACAGGGAGGTTTATCTGGGGGGTCTACCTCCCTCTGCAGCTATCAGGGAAGGAAGGCCAGGTGGCATATATAGCACTGACATCCGCCCAGGCTGTTAGCCTGTTCCTGTGCTGGTTTCACCTTCCAGGAGAATGTCATCCTGATGACTCTGATGGTTCAGGACCAGGCAGGCTGTCTGTTCAGCTCTTCCTGCTGGGACCAGTAACACGGGAGGGAGAGCGAGCAGGAGAGCATACTACTAGCATAAATACTACTTTATGCAGCTGAATTTAGTGATGAATTGAGCCAGAGCCCTGTGTGCTGCCAGAACAAAAATAGCTGCTATCTTTGGACCTTATTTTGTTACAGTCTGGATCAGACTGGTTTTCAAATCAACCTTCAATAGATATCAATACACCTGTCACTGAGAACAAAATACCTGGTATAATTAACTAGTACTCAGCAGTAACCCCTGCACCTCTATTAGGAGTTTAAAAAGATGAGTGGAGAGGAAACAACAGCAGGCAAAACGTTACCCATGTGCCTCACTCCTTGTTTTTTCAACTCTGCGCTATTGGATTACTTTCTTAAGCACTCAGGGGACAGAGACAGCAAAGAACAGCTTTTGTTGGCAAAGGCAGGCATTTTCTCACACACGGCTCTATTTTCCATGGCTCATCCAACAAATCGTACACTAAGCCTAAAAAGCCAGCAAGGAACAAGTATATCCAAGAGGGGCCGAGTACAGCAGATCTCACACCCCCGTGCATTAGCAGTGTAGCACTGGTATTGGGCACTTACTGGTGTAGGTGGGAAGTGCCCCACACCAGGAAGACACAAGCAGCAGCATCCTTGGTGCTGCCCAGTGTTGCATCACACGTACAGAAAATTGGAAGAAAATGCCCCCGATGTGTTCCAGCCAGTGATCAGAGAGGCTGGGGATGGCTGGCCTCGATTCTGATTATCACTAATTCAACACTCAAGCTCCCTTTGTGTTAAGTAAAAACTTTCACAGTTACAGATCCACAAATAGTGCAGTTTATTGAAGCAACATTAGTACAGATTCTGAATTGCCATTTATAAATTCACTTACTTCATTAGCACTGTAATCCAGAGCTAGCCAATGATTAATTGAGCTCGTATAGAAAAATAAACCATTGAGCTCAGTTTCACCCGGGTATTATTCAGTGTTGTAGGAGGCACAAAGAGGAGTGCATCCCTGCAGAGAGCAGAGAGCCCGCTGACTTGTCTGTAGAGCTGGGTCGTATTCTCATGCTCTGCCATGGGGGAGCTCAAATGCCCAGTTTATACTGTTGAGACGGTTTTCAAACTGCCTGTTGCTGCCATGATAGATGGTGTGGGGGATTTCACTTTGGTGTATCGTTATATGTAAGTTTTGATTACCTTCGCTGTGGCTGCTCAAAGGGCTGTGAGTCTCCTCCAAGGTGGGAGTAGAACTGTGACACATTCCATTATTCCCTCTTTCACACTGCTAATGCAGTGATTAAGGCCCATCCGGCCTCTATCCCTAATCACCTCTCAGCTTAGTCACCCCCATCAGCAGCTCATCACCTCTATTAGGGCGTTGCTGTTAACCCCCTCACCACGGACCTCATGGCCTCGTTCCTATACCAACGGATCTAGGAGCTTCCTTCCCAGCAAGGCCACCTAAGCCTACACGAACTCAGAAGGGACTCAGTCAGCCTTACTTGTCTTTCAGCATTAACCGGGGCTTCCAGACCTTTGGCCTCGGTCAGAGTCCAAGCAGCACGGATGGGTGCCACAGCCACTTTTTTTGTGTTTAAAAGACAGGAATCTTCCATGTCCCCCCCACCACTGCAGGGGTCTGCCTGGCCACAGCAGCGTTTTCCCAATTCTTGGTCCATAATTACTAAAAGCTGACATACGCTATTAACTTCCCTACTAATTAAATATTACTTTACGCAGTGCCACCTTTCACACACGACCACACTTTTGAAATGCAGAGCTCACAATGGGCTAAGGCTTGCAAAACAGCAAGCAAGATCCCTGTTTTGCCTCGGCAAACCTGCATATGCATAGAAGCAAGCGGCCGAGGAGCTGCTCCACATCCGTGCCAGACCTGACCTGCAGTCAGCCCAACGTGCCTGTGATACCGCAGGGAGCCTCCCGGTATCTGATGAGTGAGAGACGGTGGCTGGACTGCAGCCCTGTGGGAAACCAGTGTATTCAGGCTGTAAAACACTCACGCTTATGCAGGAAATGCAGACCATCCTGTGGGACAGCTCTGCACTTACACGGTAACCACGCAGGGTAATTCGCGTTAGTGCTCTTCCCTGATGCCACAGGTGCTCTCCCAAGCGGCCGTTCTGTTTGGGGTGTTACTGCAGGGAGGGACAGGGAATGAACAAAACCACCAGAGGCAGTAGCCACGACTCCCAGAACAGTAGACCCAACCTTTCTAACGCTCTTTTCTTCGCTTGTTCACTCTCAGCCCTCCTGCCCAGCTCAGCTGCATCTCCATGACGCCTGCATTTGTCTTGCGCTACATAACCCCAGTATTCACACCAACTCACCTATCTAGCGAGCAACAGCGAGGTCGGGAGGCACCACAGGCTCCCTCTTTCGACCCCGCCATACGCCCCGGCACGCACCGCAGGGAGTACCCCCCACCTACAGGGGGCGCCCACCCGCTGCCGTGGCGCGGGCTGCCCTAGTGCGCACGCTCAAATTGGTTCCTCCCGCCCACCCGCCCACCCTTGCTCTGAGTGGTGAGTCAGGCGGGAGGGGGCGGGCCGCGGGCCGGAAGAGGAGGAGAGTGAGGGCGGAAGCCATTATTAGTGGTGGCGGTAGCGGGCAGCGCGTCGTGAGGGTGTCGGTGGAGCAAGATGTCGATCGAAATCGAGTCCTCCGAGTACGTGTGGTATTGGGGGTGTCGGGGTGCTCCCCGACATAACGGGAGCAGTAATGGGAAGCGATGGCCGCGCGAGGGGCCGCTCCGGAGGTGATCGGGGAACGTGAGGGCGGTCGCGGGGCGCTGCTGCTATGGCCTAGCGTCCGGGCGGTAGAGAGGCCGCGGGGCTCTGGAGGGAAGGGGAAGAGGGGCCACAGGGCCGTTTTTATGACTTTGTGCCGTGCCTCTGCAGTGTGATCCGCCTGATCATGCAGTACCTGAAGGAGAACAGCTTGCACCGAGCCCTTGCCACCCTTCAAGAGGAAACCACCGTGTCCCTAAACACTGTGGACAGTATTGAAAGCTTCGTGGCAGACATCAACAGTGGGCACTGGGACACGGTGTTGCAAGCCATACAGTCGCTGAAGCTACCCGACAAGACCCTCATTGATCTCTATGAGCAGGTGAGTGAATGCAGGCTGCATGTGGTCTGAATTTCTGGTAAGACTTTTCTGGTCTGGGTGTGGGTCTCTTTCTGGTGTGTTCCACTTCCCCTTTACTGATGGAGATGTTTTTCTCTTGATGCAGGTTGTGCTGGAGTTGATTGAGCTCCGGGAGCTAGGTGCTGCCAGATCTCTCCTGAGACAAACAGATCCCATGATTATGCTAAAACAAACTCAGCCAGAGCGGTACATACATCTTGAAAACCTTCTGGCCAGATCTTACTTTGATCCTCGTGAGGTAAGTTATACTCTCCCTAGAGACTTCACACTGGTCTCTTGCATGAACCCTAACTTCAGTACCAGGTGCTTACTGCAGCTTTTCTTTTTCCACTCTAGAAGTAAAAACGTGCAGCTGCCCAGTTTCATGATTTTGCACGTTTATGAAGTGTTAGGGCAACAGTGTGTCACACTTGGTCACAAGGCAGTGGTTTTGAAGTACACTGCAGGTGGGAGTTTAGCGTTTTGTACCTGTGCCCTGTCACGGGATGATGTCTGTGTTGTGCTTTTTTTTTTTTTTTTTTTTTTTTAATTTATATATGCAGAAGAAAATGTACATTTTTGTAAATAAAGCTGATATATAATAATAAGTTATTTGTGACTGATTACATCAGCCAGAAATTTGAGTGAAAATGTATTGCAAGTGTTTCGAGGCTTGGTGTTAAAAGGAAGGGCTGTCTTGAAGGTCTAATAGGAAATTAGTGTCGAAGGGGCTTCTGTTCAAAGCAGTGAATGTTTTTATGGAAAATAGTTCAGAAGAGTGATTTTTATACAAATGATGTTTCTCTAGGCATACCCAGATGGAAGTAGCAAAGAGAAGCGGAGAGCTGCTATTGCACAAGCTTTAGCTGGAGAAGTCAGCGTGGTGCCTCCCTCTCGTCTTATGGCATTGCTGGGGCAGGTAATTCTTAAATAATATTTTAGTAGCTATGTTTGTTTCTGTGGATCTTTGCTGCATAAAACTGCTTGTGAGATCACAGTCAGTTTTGTCTAGCTGATTCTCAGACTCTGTAGAAGTAAAGCTTACGTGCTGCACATTTACATGTGGTATAGGTAAAATTGTATTTTCTGCATGTGACAAGGATTTCGCAGATTTAGGAAAGTCAGCACTCCAGGAGTAGATTTTTTTTGCCATAGAATAGGTACTGGGAGCAGAAAGAAGTGTATTTTTAAGGTACATACTTCAGGGGTTTAAGTCAAGCTGATAACGTGGCACCACACAGCTTCTTGTTCACCGCCTTATTTCCCCCCAGTTCCTGGAGGGATGGGGAGGAGAATCAAAAAAATGTAAACCCCATGGGTTAAGAACAGTCCAGTAGCTAAGGTATAATACAAAACCTACTACTGCTACTAATGTTAATTATAAGGGAAGTAAGAGGGGGAGGAAATGTAACCTGAAAAGGGAAGGAAAAAACCCAATAAACAGCAGTGATGTGCAATACAGTTGCTTACCGCCTGCTGACTAGTACCCAGCCTGACCCAAGCCTGCCCTTCCAGGTGATTCCTCCCAGTTTATATATAGTCTCAAACTGTTCAGGTGTATAATTTTAAAGGGTACAAGGAATTGCTGTATTATGTTAATTAGAAGCAAGCTTTGATGAGGAAGATGTATGCTAACTGATACGTAACAGTATGGCTTTCAACTCCTCCAGGCACTTAAGTGGCAGCAGCATCAGGGCCTGCTTCCTCCTGGTATGACAATTGACTTGTTCAGAGGCAAAGCAGCTGTGAAAGACGTAGAGGAAGAAAAGTTCCCAACACAGCTGAGCAGACATATTAAGGTGATGTATTTGTTTGGTGTGTGTTTGATGTGTGGTGTTCCAGCTTATTTCGTTGCTGGCCTTTATGTTTGGAGATAAGAGTAAACCTTATGAATTCTTCTGTTCTCTTTTTTTTTTTTTTTTTGTAAATCTTCTTCAGCTCCCTCACTCTTCCCCTTTCTCCATGCTTTATCTCATCAGGAGGCATTTCATGAGACTCTGAGATGAGGTCCCTCAATAAGATTGGATGCTCATAATATTTGTGAATATGATAAATGTTTTAATTGTTTGACTTCACAATTAAGAATAATTCAATTTTCAGAAGTGGTTCTTTGTTTGTGCAAGGCAGTACTTGTGTCTTGAACTTCTGTGGGTGGTGTATATTAGGTTTTGTGAACCATTTTAAGTTTTAGACATACAAGGTGTTCTAATAGGATCAGTATATCCTTTTTAAGGATTTAATCATATAGATAACAAAAGAGAAAGCAAACTATGCTGTAATGACATAGTAGTCCTGCAGCACTCGCAATGTAGAATAAGCAGCTTCGTCATGTGGAGGTTTTTCAACTTCAAGCAAGAAGTGCTAGGTGATAGTTTTACCAGTTCTCACAGTGAACGAAAGATAAGGAGGTTTTTTTTGTTTTTAGAAGTGCTGGTATGTTGGTATTGATAGGGGTTTTTGTACTTTAACCTTAAATCAGTGAAAGCATACCTGTAGAAAATGGCATATTTTTGCCACCAAAATTAGTCTGCTTTTTTGTTTTAATGAGTTGCTGTTTAAAAATTGCTTATCAGGCTTAATTTATCTTTTATAAAACAGTTTGGGCAGAAGTCACATGTGGAGTGTGCTCGGTTTTCCCCAGACGGACAGTACCTTGTTACTGGCTCTGTTGATGGTTTCATTGAAGTGTGGAATTTCACTACTGGAAAGATTAGGAAGGTAAATCGTGCCTTATTTTATTCACATGGATGTTTTGTTGGCCAATTCTTTGATTTTATACTTTGTTTTCATTTCTTGGGGACTGTGAATTTGTCAAGGGTGCCTGGCTGGGTGATTCAGATGCCTTTCTGAAATCTTTACATGGGTTCATTTGTCCAGTTTGTCATAAACTTCCCTCTGCAAAGGAAGAGGGATCTGGATCATCGTTGTTGCCTCTAAAATGGTGACAATAGTACCCCCCTGTTATTACAAGGTTGTGAGGTCTGCCTGCTGATGGGTTATAAAATACAACTGAAGTTCAAACACCTAGTAATTTTACACTTTACATTAAAATGTATTTAATTGAATTCGCTATTTTGATTGGTGGATCTTCTGCTTTTGTTTAGGATCTGAAGTACCAGGCACAAGATAATTTTATGATGATGGATGATGCAGTGCTTTGCATGTGCTTCAGCAGAGATACAGAAATGCTAGCAACTGGAGCACAGGATGGAAAGATCAAGGTACAAATCTTTTTCTACAGTATTTTGGTAAGGATGGTTACCAGAAAGATGCACTTTAATTACAGTGATGCTGCAGTTCCTTCTAAAAAAAAAAATTTAGTGTGGTTCAGAAACAGATATGTATTGCCTCTAATGTTTTTAAGCTTCTGTGATCTCATAACAAAGTAACCACCTCTGTTTCATTTGCTGTTTTCTCTCAGGTTTGGAAAATTCAGAGTGGTCAGTGTCTGAGGAGATTTGAACGAGCACACAGCAAAGGCGTTACATGCCTCAGCTTCTCTAAAGACAGCAGCCAAATTCTTAGTGCTTCATTTGATCAGACAATCAGGTAAATAAACTGTAAATATGTGACCTACAGTGCAGAAGAAAAATTTTTGAATATATATTGATTTGACTTGGGATTTGATCCTTTTGCACTGAGCTTTAGTATATAGGAGAGCATGACTGCTGAGGGTTGGAGCAGAGCAGTTTGAAAGTTCAGTCTTTTACCTTGCATAACTTAATTGCTTCAGGGGTAGGGGCCAGCTACCTCTGATCTATTGTTGCTTACACTGACTTTGCTCACTTTCTTTCTGTGAGTCTCCTAGCTTAAGTGATAGTTGTGTCAACCTTCAAAAATAACAGTTTTCATAACTGCAGGGGAAAAAATCTGAGGATAGCAGGATAATGATACTTCTTTTTCTTAAACGACCTAAACAGCCTGATCATACTCAGTATCTTTAATACATGACTTGAAAGTAATTGTTTCCATCCAGTTTAAAATCGGAGAATGGTTTGGGTTGGAAGGGACCTTAAGCATGGCCTAGCTCCAACACCACTGCTATGGTCTATAGTTCAGTTCCCAAATGTCTGGCATTCTTTTGGGGGCATTGAAGCAGTTCATGATGATAAAGGCCTACAGGGTGTGATTTTGGAACCATGGGAATGGGAGTTGAGCTTTTCTACAGACTTTGGAGTTGCTTTGATGCACAGTCCAGTTTGTGTATTCAGCTAGTTGATAGTGTGTCAGCCTAGTTACAGTGGTTGGATATGAGATCTGTCTACAGAAAATCGAAGGAAGTACATCCCTCTTAATGTGGTTTGACTAAACTGAACAAACTTGGCATTACCTGATACTTTCCATGTCCTAAGACTTACATGCATAGAGCTACTGCACCTTACCTGGCATGCAGGTAATCTGTTAAAGCAACAATGTGGTAAATCAGTGGATTGTAGTGGGATAGGTATGTAGGTGGCTGGGCTTGCATCTGTGCTCTAAGAAAGCCCAAGTGTTTGTGCAATTTCTGTAAATGCAGACTATGCATAAATTTTATCTTTAATTAGAAGGTACCTCTAGAGGTCTCTAGTGCAGTGTGCTTCTCAAGACCCAAACAGTCTTTCAGTTAGGACAGCTTGCTCAGTCAGGTCCTTTTCTAACTGGGTTCTCTAAATCTCCATGGGTGGAAACTCCACTGATTCTGGCATCTGTCCTAGGGCTGTATAGCTGTGTTGGAGAAAATCCTGTTTGGACATAAGGAGGGAGGTTTTGTCTTGGTTTGTTTTTACCTTTGTAACTTGTGCCTTTTGCCTCTTGGGAACGTCTAAGAAGAATCTGACTTTCAATTTATCAGGTGTTTAATAAGGACTTAGATATCCTTTTTCTTTTTTTTTAAGGATCATTGCAAAGTGGGTAAAATCAAGAATGAAAGTTAATTGTAACTTCTGATAATAGTGGATAGTCACTACAGTACTCAAAACTCTGTCCTAATCTAAGTTACCAGATGGGCAGCAACCTTACAAATCCCTTGTTCCTGCAGCCCTTAGCATCTGGAAAATACTACTTAACATTTGTGTAGTGCAGTAATTCTGATCCTGCACCTATTTGGTTTTTGCTTGCTGCTGGGTAGATTTGGTTTGCAGCACAGTTCTGTTGCTATGCAGCCACTTTGCTGCAGTTGAAAGTGACTTAGGTGAATTTTGTCTGGTTCAGTTTCTTTTCTTCTTTAGGGTTATTCTGCCTTACTTAGTAATAATTGGTTTAACCTTTTCTATCTATGAGGAAGACAGCAATTAGATGCTTCTGAATGTTCCTTTCTCTGGGCTGAATGCATCTAGCCCTTTCAGCCTCTCCTCACTCTTCTGTGGTGCTGTCCTCCGGCTATTTTAGTGACTCCTTAGTGGGGACCCAAAACTGAACACAGTCCTCCCAACGTGACAGCACCTTTGCCAAGTAGGGGAGAACCTTGATCTATGGACTCTGCCTCTCCTAGTGCATGTGGTGTCTTTCCTCAGTGCCATAGCACGCTGCCTGGCTTTCACTTTGATTTCCCCAGGGCTTGCTGGGTCCTTTGCTGCAGACCTCTGTGGCTGGTCAGTCCCCAGCTGATTCTTATGCCTGAGGTAGTTCTGCAATGATCTGCTTTCGGCACTGTGAGGCTTCTTTCAGTCAATCTATCCAGTTTGTCAAGGTTTCAAAAGTTCTTATCTGTTTTTCAGAATTGAGTTGCAGGATATGGGACTTAGATTATGAATCAAATTGATCCAGTGCTCGATGAGCGTGTACATTTTATGTTTAATTGAATGGGTTTGTGTAATATGTTCAGTGGCATTAGCCTGCTGTAAAACCCAGTGTCACCAATAATACTGCTTTAGATGAAGAGATGTGTGGACCTGGAAGCAACTGCACAGTGAACTGGCATTATGAAACACCTTATTAAGAGATGTTATTCTGCTGAAATCCTGATACATACGAACTATAGCATAAGGATTTTAACTGAAATGGTGTAAGCTTGGATGTTGAATCAAGGACATGAAACTTAAAATTGAATAAGTAATTTCATTCTCAAGGCTTCAAACTTCTGCTTGAAAACTATATTCCTGTAGCCAGTAGCTAGTACAATTTAAGGCTGGTATGGATCACCTCTATAATTTTATTTTAGATGGCTGAGCAAATTCTGCAGGATTGCACAGTTAGAGGCAGTGGCAACAGCTTCAAAAAGAGAAAAAGTCTGGCTGGGTCCAAGGAGAGAATTTTTCTTAACTCAGAGCTTGGTCAAGGCCCTGAGCAAACTGACCTAAGTTAGACTAGTGACTTTCGAACTTAATTCTGTAATTCATTTTGTCAGCTTCATAGTTTCCCCTTTAATAGTCCTGTTAACTAACATGTGCAGTGTGTATTACATACAGGTCCTTGAGGCTGAAGGTTGATAGTATTTCCCTAAGCTTTTCAGGGGAACACATAACAACTTTAAAGGGGCTTGTCCTAAAGACAGTTTGTGGATTTTTTGGCACTTTTTATTGTTACCTATGAAAGGTACCTTGGAAGTAAAATACAGTAAAGCCAAGGGGTTGTTCACACTACCTCGGTTACTCACTCTGTTTGACCTTTGTGACAGGATTCATGGTTTAAAATCTGGGAAAACTTTAAAGGAGTTCCGTGGTCATTCTTCATTTGTCAATGAAGCTACGTTTACCCAGGATGGCCATTATATTATTAGTGCATCTTCTGATGGCACAGTGAAGGTAAGATAGCATTTATTTATCCTTTATATAAATAATGTATTCAGACACTTTGCATGTTGGAGCTGATACGTTATGGTTGTTGCAGTCATTGGAGAAGGACTTGGGGTTATCTGCAGTAATAAGTCTTTCTGTTTGTGACCTTTGCTGTAGATTGCTGTAAATGAGAACAGATAAAGTTTCATGCTGTTTTCACAGACTGCTGTAGAGTCTTTCTGCTGTATTTATTAAAGGAGAAGTGCAGCCCTTATCTGCCTGTTCCTGCTTTATTCTAGAAATAGAATTGACACCTGTCATCTTAGAATGTGGGGATTCCTTGATCTGCAATAACAGCATTTTCTTGCTTACTGTGTTGGGCACATGTTTATTTCTTGGTGTTTAGGAGTCCCTTGCTGTGTAAGCTAGGTAATCTAGCATTAATAAAACTGACTGTGGGAGCGGCTTCTAGCCTCAGCAAAGTGTGGAACTACTTGGTGTGTAGTAGTTAGGAGGAGTATAGAAGCAGCCACCATAAGTAGGACATCAGTGTAGTGCATGGAGGGGATGGGTAAACATACCTGGTTTATAGATTTGGCCTAGGAATGTGATAGATCTTGGTTGTAGTAAATGGGGTGTTACTTCAACCTTGCACTCTCTTGCTAGACTGCCACAAATCATGGGAGTAGAATAATAGGGTGGTACCTTTCATTTTGACTGTACTAGTATGCAAACAGCAAAAATATTCCACAGATGATGAGTTACATTTTATTTTAAATATTAAATAAGCAGTTGCATTTCCTGTTTCTGAAAAGCTAGAACAGCCTGGGATTGGGCCTGAAGCAGCTGGAATGTGGGATGTCTCTCCCACTGATATCAGTGAAGCTTTTTTTTTTCCCCTGCAATTCTTGTGTCTGTCTTGTGGAAGGGAAATTGCATGTGCAGAGACTGCACGTATATTCACAGATACCAGTTAAAACATGAAGCAGGTCTGGACTCACCCCTTAGGGAATATGCTTAACAAAAGGGAGCCAGGCTGAGTTTCCAGTTCAGTGGTAGTGAAATTGTTCGTGGTGTCCAGGCTTCAAAATAGATATGATAACTTATTGTTTGGTGGTCTTACCTACTTTAAACTACAGTTTTTGGAATTCATATTTCCCTTCAGGAGCCTTAAAAAATCTGAACCATGAATCAGGGCTTTTGTTTTATTTGTTTGTTTGTTAATTGGTTTTGCATCTCTTCCTTGTACTAGGTTTGGAATGTGAAGACGACAGAGTGCTCAAACACCTTCAAATCCCTTGGCAGCACTGCTGGGACAGACATTACTGTGAATTGTGTCATTCTGCTCCCTAAAAACCCCGAACACTTTGTTGTTTGCAACAGATCAAACACAGTCGTCATTATGAATATGCAAGGACAAGTATGTGATGTTAATAGTGACCTTTCAAGTCTCTCCATCTCATTCTTTTTAAAAATGCCCAAAACCTAGTTAGTAACCTAGCCTTGGGTTAAACCCCGTTTCTTCCATTTGCTTTCATGAGAACTACTCTGTACCCAGATTATAGAACAGCTTGACTTGCAGAAAGCAAATGTAGCTATGGAAAGATCCTGTGTTCTAAACAGGCCTAGTACTGCCTAAATATTTTTGTCTTGAACATAATAATGAGGTGCTGTAGCTTAATCCTGTCAAATATTTTTGGGGGGGTGTCGTTACAGATTGTAAGAAGCTTTAGCTCTGGTAAGAGAGAAGGTGGTGACTTTGTCTGCTGTGCACTTTCACCTCGTGGTGAATGGATCTACTGTGTTGGTGAAGACTTTGTGCTCTATTGCTTTAGCACAGTGACTGGCAAGCTGGAGAGAACTCTGACTGTAAGTTCTTAGTTTGGAGCTTCTGGGGAGTTCTAAACACAAGGATGGTTTAAATCCTTGTGCTGTTTTAAGTCTGTATGGAGAAGTGTCATATCGAGGACTCTTTCACTTCTAGCAGACATGATTGGTAACAGATGCATTCTAGAACACTTGGCTGTGGGATGTTGTGATTCTCTAAACCTAGATGGTAACTCAGCACCATGCAGTGGATCTCCTGCCCAATCCCTCAGGTGGGATGGGGAGGAGAATTGATAGAATGGGTTGAGATACTGCTACTGATAAGGGAAGTAACAAGGGGAGAGAATATGCAACTAAAAAGGGAAAGGAAATTAAATACAATAACCAGCAGTGCTGCACAATACAGTTGTTCACCACCTGCCGACTGATACCCAGCTCGACCTGAGCGGTGATCTGGGCCTTCAGGGTGACTCTCCACAGTTTATATACTGTGCATGATGTGCTGTGGTATAGAATACCTCTTTGGCTAGTTTGGGTTGGGTGTCCTGTCTCTGCTTCCTCCTGGCTTCTTGTGCCTCTCCTCTGAGGCAGAGCGTGAGAGACAGAATAGTCAAAGTAAACATTATGTAGCAACATCCAAAACAGCACTGTGCCAGCAGTAGTAGGAAGGACAAAAATAACTGTTATAGCTGAACCCAGGACAGTGCCTCTTTTTAGAACCCTTTTAGTTTAAAAAGTTACAAAAATATTTACCCACAAAGCCAAGAGTGAATTGTTCAAAGCTTGAACTAGAGCGTGTCTTGACCTGGGCTTTGTCTGATGAAAAATCTGACTAAGCTGTCAATATCTAAAGCTGTTAGGTATGGCAGCAGGGTAGGGAAGGAGGAGGGAAGAAACATTCCTCCGTTTTTGCTGTATGCACAAAGCATGTTAAACCTCAGACCAACTTTTCTCTAGTTCTTGTTTGAAGAGATTATTTACTAGAAGAAGAATCTCCTGGTTAATCTTTCTGCTTACTCTCTAGGTTCATGAAAAAGATGTCATTGGCATTGCTCACCACCCCCACCAGAACCTGATTGCCACCTACAGTGAAGATGGCCTGCTCAAGCTCTGGAAGCCATAGCTTGATTTTACAACAAGCTATTAAGTGTGCCTGTTAGTTGCAGGTTATTGGTGTTTGTGCTTTAACAAGGTCTGAATACGGAGAGTGTGATACTTGCTCCATTTTCAGTTCAGTTTTTCAGAGAATGACATTTTTAATTCTTGGTCTAAGTTTAGGTAGATTGATGCTTAAATATAGCATCATTTAATTTCAGATACTTTTTATTTTAACCAGAGTAGCCCAAGCAACTTCAAGTGAGTGTTTTTTCTGTATCCTGACGTCTGTACTCTTCCCATAGTGTTTATAAAAGTTGAATAAGCTAGGAACTATATACACCTAAAAATAAGTGGTTGGTGACTTCCTAGAATATGGTAAAATACTTTTTCTGAATGAATTATGTGGAATGAAAATGTCTTTTTTTCCACAGAAACAGAGGGAGTTTTACCAGAATGCAGATAAGGCCACTCTATGCTCAGCTTGAAGGCAGAGTATTTTCTAGTCCAGTGTACTTTTCTAGTACAGTGAATACTGTATTTAGTATTCACTATATTTTTTCCATTTTTATATATATTAAGTAGTGTCACACAGCTTCCTTGGAGCCAGACTATTCTTCCTCATCTCCCAGCACTTCCTAATGTGACAGTGAGATACAGTTGGGCTTTTATTGTGGGCGGCTTTTGTGGTTTGTTTGTTGTGGGGGTTTTCTTGTCCTTCGTTTTACTTCACTTCCAAGCTAAAATGAATTATTACCTGGGCCCTCTTCCTGTAGGTGCATAATGTCTTCAATCTTTAATTGAAGTGAGCTGCATAGGATCAGTACTTTAAAAGATGGAAAATCTGGTGTACATAGGCCAAGTTCCTAGTGCTGTGACGCTGCACATGCTACAGTTGTATTGGGCTTTTTTACAGTTTACTCAGTTCAGCTTCCTATTTTCCCAAAAGGGCATGGCATAGACTAAGTAATTATTAGCAAGGTTTTTGTTTAATTTTAAAATTCCATATGCCTGTGAACCTAGTGGAAGTGCTACTTGATTCGCACACTATGGTAAAGTTAATCCTTCAGGCTCTTCAGTTTGGAGCAGGTGGTGGTTCTGTTTCAGATCCTGACCAATGCACTCTGCGGTGAATGTGCACAGGAATCTTCTCCAAAGTATCACCTAAAAAATTGCCTAAATCAGTTCTAATTGGGCTTGATCTTTATACAAGTGTTGGTTATCAGCTAGTGTCAAGTGTACTCACCCATGCACTTCATTGGTCTGTGTTAATACTGGTCTAAGGAGATGAAGAAAAGAAATCAGCTTAACTTCTCGCACAGCATTGCTTGTTCACTACAACTGTAGTGCTTTGTTCTGTTTAGCTGTAATGTTTTAATTGCTAAGTTTTTTTTTTACTTCCCTCGATATTGCAATAAAGTTATTTTGTAGATAGCAGAAAGTTATTGTTCTTCCTGCCTGAAAAGACACCCACATGTCAGAAACATCTGACAGTGATGCATCTGAAAAGCTCCATTGGCAAATACTACTTGTACAGAAGTCGTCAACACAGTATTTTTAATGTTACCTGACCTGTGCTTCGTTTTGCCTTCTTCAGTCATGCAAAACTGTTCATCCTCAATGCAAACAGTATCATTCATTTCTCTTAGGAAGAAAAGTCATTGTAGCACATGAAACTCCTGGATGTTTAAATATTGGAATAGATTCCCTAGCTTAAAAATGTGAGAAGATCTGACATTTGATTGTTAAGAGTTCTAGTTTGTTGTGTCAAGTACTTCAGACAAAAGGTGAAAGTACTAGTGCTCATACAAGGGCAATAGTAAACTCCTGGGCTGCAGCTGTAATTTACAAAATAGCTGGCAGTTGGCACAAACGTACAATGATTAATTAATGTTAATTATTTTTTTTTTAATCAAAAACCTGCATTTTTCTTTTTAATGTAATTCTCTCTGGAGAATCAGTCTGGTGCTGCACCGCTTCCCCAGATGCAAGACTTGAACAAGGCAGTATCCAGTGGTTTGACTAACATTAAAGCAAGCGTTGTTCACCTTTGTTTGTCGCTTTGTTCTTGAAATACTTTGCTTGGAACTGGTGAGCTCCATCATCCACTGAGGAGTGCAAAGTAGTGACAGCCTCATATGTTGGTTCATCCTCCTGTTTCTGGATTGGGGATCAGTGAGTGAATTCCAGCCTGGCTTGGATGGAATTGGGTTCATGTCTGTATGTTCTTGCAGAATACGTGTGGAGGAGCTTCAGCCATCTCAGTCAAAATAAGTGATCTTGGGTTTCTGCACATGTATGTGATTGGTGGCTGTGATGTTTTTAATGTTATGGAACATGTAAGCCTGTAGATACAGTATCCACCACTACCAGCTTGTAATTTGCAAATTAAACTCTCCGCCTGACTCCTAGTACAGTTTAGAGAGACCAGCTGAAAATGAAGACTGGGTCTCAATAAAGTCCTATAAAGCAGCCAAATTCTCTTGAGGTCCCAGAGAGCAGGCATCTCCATGGGTGCCTGCCAGCCCCTGTGAATGCATGATAATGCATATTGCTGAAGGACTTACACCATGAGCTTGAGAGGAAGGCTGGCCTCTGGACTGGGGCAGCTTGGTAACAAGAGTGTTCATTTGAGGTAAGTAAAAAGGAAGTATGTTGCTGAGATTTATAGGAAAGATTAAGAACATTTATAACTGAGTTCTGGCATCAACTACAGCTTTTCTTCACTTCCTGGCTTTTGGGAGTTCTTAAGCATGATTGATTACTTCATCTGCACTTCCCGTTGGTGATGGGGGCACCAGTGTGTTCACTGAATAGCTGTAAATAAAACCTATGACATGAACTATACCCCTCTTGTGTGATGGAGCCCAAAACTAGACATGACACTTCCAGGTGTGCCCTTACCAGCGCTGAGGAGAGGGGAAGGATCAACTCCCTTGACCTGCTGGCAACTGGGATACCAGTTTTCTTCTTTCCAAAACCAGCGCATTGCTGGCTCACATTCAATTTGGTGTGCACCTGGGCTCCCAGGTTTCTTCTCTACCCTTCTGCTTTTCATCTGGGTGGCCCCCAGCATTTTCTGGTGCCTGGGGTTGTTCCTCCCCAGGTGCAGGACTTTGCACTTCCCCCTGTTGAACTGCAGGAGATCCATGTCAGCCCATTTCTCCACCTGTCAAGGTGTCCCTGGATGCCAGCACAGCCCTCTTGTATGTCAGCTGCTTCTCCCAGTTGTGTCAGCTGCAAACTTGCTCAGGGTTTACGTTGTCGCATCATGCAGATCATCACTGAAACTGTTTAACAGGACTGGAGCCAGCACTGACCCCTGTGGTACATTGCTAGACACTGGCCTCCAATTACTCTTTATCTCACTGGTCACCACCCTCTGTGCTTGGCCATTCAGCCAGTTTTCAGTCCACTTCACTGCTCATCCATTCCCTACATCAATGGCTTCTCTGTGGGGATCTGACAGGAGACAGCATCTAAGACCAAACTGAAGTCCAGATAGACAATGTCCACTATTCATCTACCAGGCCAGTCATTTCATTGTAAACATCTATCAGGTTGGTCAAACACGTCTTTCCCTTGGTGACGCTGACTACTACTGATGACTCTCTTGTGGTTGATGTCCCTGGAAATGGTTTCCAGGTTTAGCTGTCCCATTGCCTTCCCAGGGACAGAGGTGAGGCTGACTGGCCTTTAGTTCCCTGTATTTCTTCTTGGCCTTGAAGACAGAAATGACGTTTTCTTTCCTGCAGTCTTCAAGCACTTCCTCTGGTCACCATGATCAATGAAAGACTATGGAGGCTGGCCTTGCAATGACATCTGCCAGCTCCCACAGCACTTGTGGTGCATCCCATCAGGATTTATGTATGCCCAGTTTGCTTAAGTATTTCCTGACCTGACCCTCTTCTGCCAAGGGTACATCTCCCCTGCTCCAGACATTCCCCTGGGGTGGTCTCTGGGACTCCTCACAGCCAGTGTTGCTAGGAAAATGGAAGCAATGAAAGCATTCAGTACCTCAGCCTTTTCCATGACCCAGGTAACCAGGTGCCCTCTCTCATCTAGTAGTAGGCCCACATTTCAGCTAGCATTTCCCACCTGCATACTTATAGAAGGCCTTGTTGTCTTTGACATCCTTCACCAGATTCAGGTCCAGTTGGGCTTTAGCTTTCATAACTTTATACCTGGATGCTCAGACAGTTAGGGCCCTGCAGTCTTTCAGGCAGGCTCTTAAATGAGCTTGCAGTGGGCATTCCCAGTTTCACAGTGAACTTGTGGAACAACAGAGCTGCTGGATTACTGGGGAATAAACAAGTCCTGCATGCTTGGTGCACAGTGGAAACTGTAACAGACTAGCACTGGAAGCTTGATGAAATGAATTTGGTGGTGTTGATACAGAAACTGCAATACAATTGCGAACACCAACTAAGGCTATGGTAAGTTTGATTACTACACTGGTAGTTAGGAAAGCAGCTATTTCGTGCTACTATGTTCTTAATTCCTGCGGCTGTCCATTCAGAGGGCTGGGTCCTCCTCCTTGCTTGCTCTTGCCTTCAACTGCTCATGCCTTTTGATGCAAGCTTACTGTACTGCTGCCAGTGTTTATCTGGGACCTTGCTTTTACGTCAGTCACTAGCTCGTGTCAAAGCAGGGTGCTAGGCTGGTGGTGCTTCTGCTGCCTTTCCTGCACCAGCAGCATCATCTTTCCACAGGATACTCTACAAGGCTTCTGGAAATGTGGTCAGTCACCCTCATGGAAGCTGGACCTGACCCCTCCTCTAGACTGGCTGTGACATTGTCGTGGTTTAACCAATGCCAGACACCTTGTTCACTCACTCCCCCCCTCTTCTTGCCCTCCCCCGACTCCTGGAGGGACAGAGAGGAGAATCAGAAAGAATGCAACTCCCACGGGTTGAGATAAGAACAGTTTAGTAACTAAGGTATAACACAAATCACTACTGCTGCCACCAATAATAGTAATGATAAAGGAAATAACAAGGGAAGAGAATACACCGTCTCATCACCAGGCGACCGATAACTTGCCCCCCCAGCCTGACCAAGCACCGACCAATACCTCCTCCAACCCTGCAGTCCACTAAGCCCTTCTGGCCAACTCCCAGTTACCTCCTGGGCATGACGTGCTGTGGTATGGAATACCTCTTTGGTCAGTTTGGGTCAGGTGTCCTGTCTCTGCTTCCTCCCGGCTTCCCCTCCTCCCTGGCAGAGCATGAGGCTCACAAAGCCCTTGGCCAAACCAAAACATTGTTTTTCAGCTCTGTTCCCAGCTGAAAGTCAAAACACAGCACTGCACCAGCTACCAAGAAGGAGAAAAATGACTGCTACTGCTAAAACCAGGACAGACATCAAGCATGAAGCAGAATTGACCATCATGGTTTTGAGGGTAAGTCAAGAGCAGAAACATTACTTGAGCAGTGCTGATGCAAATATGGGAGTGATGAAAGGAAAACTTTAGTTTTCCCAAAGTGTCCCCAGGAAAAGAAGGCTATGGAATGGTTTTATATATAGAATAGTCCCCTGAAGCAAGATAATGTCCTGTTGTCATCCCCAAGTATTTGGTTTGTCCCAGCTGCTTGATCTGTGGGTACAGAAGGGTGCTTACTGAACTGGAACACAAGTAGCGTATTTTAGTGCTGTTTAGCCTTAAGCCAGCCCTAGCCAACAGCAGGATTACTTCCTCTTCTTTACTGGTAAGAGCAAAGGCTCCTGCTAGTCACATTCGTACAGCTCACTGTTGAGCTCCTTCAGGCACATCTGGAAAGACACATAGTCCACAAGATTTTATCCCTGCTGAAACAAACATACAGGGCCTGGCTATTCTGTAGGGACCTGAAAGGGAGCTACATGTGAGGTTCAAAACCCACAGTACCAGATGTCTTTAAAAAATGAAGCCCGTAACACAATAGCTAGAGATGTTTCCTAAGTTTCCAGACAGTTTCCAGATGATCAAGTTATGACACACACATACTGTCATGTAGCAGCTATTTCCAGGAAGAAAGAGTTCTGTTTGTGACACTTTTGCTTCAGAGCAGTGTGAAAAGCATAAGCTCCGTCCCAAGCCAGATGGCAGAACAAGACCAAACCACCGAGCTAGAGGTTAAATCTGGACCTGTCCTCTCAGCATATTTTTTGAATGAAGTTTTTTTGCTAGGGCATTTATGTGAATAACTGCCTAAAATGAGGTGGGTGGTGTCTAAACCAACATCTGGTCTAAGAAAAGAGGCAATGAGCGATTTTGTAATTATATTGGAAATGCTTCATCTACAGTATTTAGAACATACAGAAACTTCAAGAGTCAGCATAAAATAATGCACACAATACATTAATTCCAGAACATCCTAAATGCATCAGTTGGTTGTATTCACCGTTTCTCTCCCCTGCAAGATCATGTATGGCCCCTAACAGGGCTGGTACTGCTTTTCA